ATTCTTCTATCCTTTAATTATCACTAAATAACTATTTACTGTCTCCTCTCTCTACAACTTATGATATAACTTTATTTAATTTATGATTTCTTTTTTGATATACTGTGTGGTTTAGTTATTCATGTTCAAGATCGTTATTTGTGTTGCTTTTTTGAGGAATACATATAATAGAAGCTGGCTGCCGGTTTCTATTTGAATTCAAGGCATGGGATAGTGAGAAGCCTGAGGGTAGTAGATCAGTAAGTGTTCAGCTTGCGTTATCTATACAGATCAGAACCTATAACTGGTCAAGTCTAAGACTTAACTATAGACAGAATAGTACACGTAAGATAGAAAAAGTTATAATCGGAATTCTGATTGGTGAGTATGGCACTTGATATCGATTAATGTCTTTATTTATAACAATGGGTTTAAAAAGCATGACATCGGTTAGTGCTCAGCGATCAATTTATGTAAAAATTTCGGTTCGACAGCAGGCTAATTACAGGTCATTGGTAAGGCCTTTGGATTTAAAATAGGTTCGAACCCCAGCAAAGGTATCAGTTACCTTAATAAAACTAATGAGTGTCAACGAGCATGAAGCTGAATTCCACACCTCATTGCTATTTCCAACCACCTGACATATTTTAAATAAAAATATAAGTTAAGTACTTAACGGATATAGTTAACAACAAGAAGAATAGAAAAAAAAATAACAGGCGGAATATACTATTGATTAAATACGCTTGAATATTGAAGATACGATTTATTGAATACTGAACATGGGGGGGTGCGGGTAGGAATTTTAAGATTTATTCAAACTTCTAAAACAATAATAACGATAAACTTTACCGACAGATTAATTAAAAAAAGGTAACAATTATAACCATCATTCAGTACATGGAAGATTTATTGTACGAAAGAGATGTAGACATAAAATCACAAAGGAAATCCGCCTTAATTTCATTAATACTATCAAATGAAATGAATGACTTGAAAAATCTGAAAATACGTACCATACTATTATGTCTATGTCGTTTTAATTTGGCTTGTTCACAAAAATATTTACTATCTATAAATATATAATTTTCTCAATCGTCTCAATATCAGATAGGTAAAATAGATTAATAGAAATTTGTATATAGCCTCAGTTTTAATTTCGCCGGTACTCATATGAAAATACATGTTTTCAATATCGAAAAGACTGATACTGTAAAAAAAATTGGACATTATAGCAACACTTTATGGAGTAAAAGATCATTAGTTTGAGACATTACGTAAGTGCAGACTATCTGGTTACGGGCAATGTGCTAATACTGTGACTAATGGTTGAAAACTTTAGGTGATAGTGCAGAAAATAGATGAAAAATGATGATCGTATACTCATTTTGATCTTCCTCTAAACCTTGAGTAGTGATATTTTTTTAGACATAACGCTCCAAACCATTTTATCTACTTGAAATGGATGAGATTATCTCGCCTTTGATATTTTGACTGAATTTTAGTCAGTCTCGGTTCGCATATATACATCACATACAGGTTATTTCGATAAAAACAATAATGACACATGTTAATATTGAATCGATGGAATGTGGCTATTAGTAGAACGCAGGACGAGAGTTTCGTCTTATATAATGATTCCGATGCTAGCCACATTCCATTTCCTCAACACGAAATTCTCCTGACTATTATTAATGCTATCACTATTTCGACTCCTGTGTTATTTATCATGTTCATTTTATCTGGTCGTGAAGATTTGGTCTTAAAACTTGAGCTTACCCATAGTTGTGACAGATTCTACGTTTATGACTGAATAACACTCTGATCAAAAAAATTCTGAACGTGTATAACTCAATGTACAACTGGAGTTAATAAAGAATATCAAGCCTTAATTAGTGATATAGTTTCGAACTGTTCATGTAAAATGAAGACTTGTTCATAAACTTAATTTCTAATCACGAGATTACATATGTTCATTATATTCTGTTTATAAATGTTTGGGCAAGAAAATAGTATCATAGGAAAAAAACATATCAATCCCTTTCTGATAATAATCAACATATGCTCACTAGTGACTGGCTTCAATAGGTATTTCCTGGAGTGCTAGTGAGAAGTAGTGATCAGTGGAGTTCAACTAGGCCTGTTGTGAGATAGTAACTCACTGAAGACAATGGTGGATGTGTCGCTCAATTACGTGGATTGATTGAAGTTAGCCATTAACACTGTTAGATGACAGTCGGCTCAGGGATCAACTGACTCATGATTTCAACAATTGAAATTACAAATATTATTGTGGAATTAAGAAAAATACCGTAAAAATGAAGTAAATGTTCCGTTTTCTTCCATTTAATTACAATGTTTATTAATGTGAGATGTAAACTACAAAAGTAAACAATCTTAACGAGGTCCACATATAAAGTTATTTATAATGCAGAATTCCTTTAAGTTTTTTTTATTTTAGATATTTGAACTATTCAACTGATGGAGAAAAACCAAAAGACATTTACTGAATAATATATCCAGTTAGAGGGTAGTCAGAAACAGTATATGCAAGAGTGTGAACGATTATCCCATTCCAGTTTAAGTAGACCAAGCAACTAATTTAATGCGCAGAAAATCGCCACATATCTCTTTAGGCTCTAGATTGAGCCTTTGACTAAACTAAAAAGTTTTAATCACAACTTCCTTAAAACGGGAATGATATTAATCGACTGTTCCACTGCAATCAACTTTCAGGATTCAATTACCCAATGGTTAATATAGTCAGTGTAGGAATAAGCGAATATTTAGTCATATTTTGATCTGAACAGAAGTATTTATTTGCAATTTTGGGGGTTTGTGTGATTTAGGTAATGTTTACAATATAAACAAGAATATCATCAGAAGGAGTGAATTCGTATCCTTTGAAGTCGATAGTGTTAAATGTGAAACAATGGCTTAATGGTAAAGCAGGGTCGGAAGTTTAATATCAAAAATTGTCCAATGTCTAAAGTACGCATACACGCAAGTAAACTCACTTATTTAATTTATCACGCTTACCGCGAGAACCGGATGATTTCGGTAACGGATCTCGTATGAATTCGTAGGTGCGTATTGTTGAAGATATCTAATCTAGGACGAAACAATAGTTCAGTGCTTCCTACTTCGTTAATGAAAAGAGGTACTGTAATTATACGTATGGTGAGTTCAACAAGTTATAGCAAGTTATGTTTGTATATTCCACTTCCAACTATTTGGTTACAGATTTTAACCTATTGAAACTACTTCTGTTCAGTAATTTGGGTAAGATTGCTAATTATCACACAGAAAACATGAATAGATATTTTGGTTAACGAGACAAGTTCATCAACTAAATTATGAATAATATGACTAATTTTCGGTTTTTCTAACTTTTAAAGGATGAAAAAAGAAATATGAATTGAACAACTATCACCTTCTTCAACAGAACAAAGATTAATTGTCACTATTCGCACATGATTAGTTAAAAGATTTTAAAACTATTTACATTCAGACATTAAGTTCTATCCATCGATTGTAACAAACTTATGAATAATTGTATTCTTGGATGCTTTCATTTGACATAGATTTTCCATAAAATGATTTTAAAATCCAATAAACATTTAAAACAAACCACTGGACTTTTTCAATATTCACAGAATACATTTCTCTAGAAATATTCATAGATTTCATGCCATTAATTAACTGGGGAGAGAAAAAAAAAGTACACAATTTAAGTAGTATGGTAAAGATGAAAATTTAAAAAAAAAAAATACTAATAATGAAAAGGTTACATATGATACTTATATGTTTTCAATAGTTTGATAAAAAATATAATTTAGAAAAACAAAAATCAAACTTCAATCTTCTATCTGCTTTCAATTCTAAACCTTATTATGATGATATCGTTTCAATAAGTAAATAAATTTTTTTTTAAAAAAAAACTGATGAAAATTTGTTCCATTCACAAAGAAAGTATTACCGAAGAAATGCGCATTAAATCAAAACATACATACACTTAATCATTTTAAGAAAATGAATTATTTTCCGAACTATAACAGTACACATATATGCTACTCATTGTCGATAATAACAAACGAGTACACAAATAAATGGGTATAACCCGTTCAAGTCAATTAAATCTAACAAGTTTCTACTGAACAAAATAGAAAAACAACAACAGCAACAACAACAATAACAAATAAATCCGAAAGTGAACACTATCGATAATGAATGAAAAACAAATGCATAGAATAAAAAAGTTAGAATGAATCAAATCAATGTACTATATTAAGAAGGTTTCAATTAAAACACTTTCATACTATCTCCTATAAGTGACCGGGTAAAATGAATTAAAAACAAAAGGGGGAGAAATAAGCCAAAATGAATAGATGGCGCTTCTTTATTCAACCTACCATAACAGATAAATATATATTGGAAACATTAAAATGAAAGAAAAAAGGTTCTCGTCCAAATAAGTTTTTAGTAGGTTGTATGCTTGATTTGGCGCTTTGTTTTAAATCGAAATTAAAAAAAACATTTAAAAAATTCAATTGAAACATTCAAAAGATTATTGAAGAAATTATTTACTACTCGTTAATATACACATTATGTTTATGAATTACATGAGAACAAGAAAGTGATCATGTGAAAAAAACAATATTATCATTGATATGAGTGTTGAAAGTACATTCGTACACACACACACACACACAATGATACGATTACTTGGCGCCAAAAACTGAGCGAACGAAAAATAAAACATAGTTTTATTTTCTTGCATTCTAACTAGAATATTGCATTTGTTGTTATTGTTTTACGAGGGGACACAATATGTGAACATATTAATGATGGAATAAGAAGAAATTGATGTTTGAGAAAGAAAGAAAATAAGGAAATGTAGGAAATAAGCAGAAAAAATATAACTTATAAATGAAAGAATACACATATGCAATTTTAATGTATACTTCATGGGAGTACACCAATAGGTCAGTACACTTTAAAAACATATGAGAAAACGAAATTTAAAAATGCCTCATTGATGATGATGACGATGATACTGATGCTGTCGGTGCTGTTGATGAAGTTAAAGCAGACAACATATTCATACAATTATTATTACTATTATTAAAAGGAAAATTTTGCAAGAACTCCATGAAATGAGCGGTTGAATTAGTACTACTGATATTAGTAGTAGCAACGCTGTTATTCTGACTACCAGATATTATTTGTCTTAATAAATCCATATTATTAGCATTAATGTTACTGTTACGCATTAATGTTTGCAAAAAAATTGACCAGTTGTTAGCAAATACATTAGGATCTATTAGGCTATCAACTTTTAATTCAGAAGGAAGAGATGTACTTGGTTGGTGTTCTTGCCGTAATTGTTGTTGCTGAGTGATTTGATGGTGGTGTATATGAGATGAATTCGGCAACGTTGATGCGGATGGTTGGATTAATGATGTAGGTGGTGATGACGACGACGATGTTTGAAATATAGGCACTGGTGTTACAGTCTGATTTATTGGGAGAAATGATTTTCTGAATAGTTCTGTTTGCGATTGATCATTATTGGTAGTATTAATATTGTCACTAATGCTACTAGAATTATTTGTAGCCATGGCACTGAACAACGATGATAAAACATTTGGCGGTGGTATACATCCCGGTGGGAATAACGATAAGAATGAAGGGAGTAGATCAGATTTTGAAAATGCATTCGGAATGATTGAGGATTGTAGAGTACTCCCAACATTACCACTGTTATTACCAGATATCAATCTATTATCTACTATTGATGTATTCCAATTACAATGAACGCCAGAAGTAGTAGGAGTACCCATAAGTTTTGAAATATTCGATGTATCTGAAGTGTTGCTATTGTCGACACTATTATTACCAATATTGTTATTACTATCGTTTATTAAAGACACCGGGTTTGGTACAGATGCTGTCTGTGAATGGGGGAGAGGTACTGATGGTAAGCCTCCGTTTGATGATGGTGGTGGTGATGATGACAATGATGATGATGAACTGACATCAACCAAGCATATACGTAAATGTCTTTCTGGCCAACGAAAAACTAACGGCAAATGCAATTCATTAGGATATAATAAACATGAAAATTGAAATTCCAACTGTTCCAGAAAATCGTCTGTCAATAAGATCTAGACAAATTTCAACAAAAAATTATAAAGTAAAGAATTAAAATACAATTTGATACCAGTATTATTAAAAACCAAAATAAAGTAACACTGATAAAAGAGGAAATTAAAAAAAAAGAAATGATCAAGGCGGCTCGTTATATCCCAGTATATAGTTTCTCAGAAGCAAAAAACTCAGTTATTTTCCTGATCAAATAAATGCGGTTATTTATGGATTAAAATAATTCGTCTGTTTAATATATTATTAAAACTGATAGAACACAAGCCGAACATGCATAACTTGATAATTGTAAGTTAATTGCCTGATAAAATCTAACTATCATTCAACGATTGTTTGAAGCTGATTACCACGTATAATAAAACAGGATATCTTTTGCTGAGATCTTCTTACACCAGAACAAAATAAAGACTTTATGAATGCCTGATTCTCAATGAATTACATGAAAGGGAAGATTACTAGACTACCCAACACTTAAAAAGTGGCAACTCCAGTAAAAAAGGGGTATTTCAAGAAATGATTACAGATCAGTAAGTTATAACCAACTACGCATAATAACTACTTGTAAGTTAATACACTTCACTTAATGCATTGATTATTAAGAATAACTACTTATCTTAAAAACAATTCATTCAAAATTTCTCTTACCTGTAACCATGGTCCACGGGCGACATAGGGTGTTTCTTCAGTAACAAAAGCTCCAGAAACACCAGATGGTACTAACGTAATAGCATGATCTGGATAATTTGCATTTAGAAATGTAAAATGTCTTCCATGACGTAGTCGATCATTCACTGCTAAGGGAAGCATTTCACCAGCTTCACGACATAAATGCACATCTAAATAATCGATAATCCGTGTTGGCATCATATCCAAACTAGCCGGAGAAAGTGATAAATGTGCTAAAGGTGTACATGGTGCAGAACCATCACCAGTAGTACTACTACTACCACCACCACCACCGGGTGTAAGATTCCCACCTTTAGGCTCAATACTAGCATCTATAAATTTATCCGTAATCATATTGGATATTGGTAGTTCTGAATTGAATGTTCGAAAACCAAGCGCGCCGCCAACTACATTAGTCAGTTCTGTAGGTGAATTGATCAAAGTACTTTTGAATATCCCACCACCTGCAGATGAAGTATTAGCGCCGACTTTGTTTAGGCTTTGACGACCTACGTAAAGTTGAAAAAATGAATGAACGAGTGAATACCTAAGACAAAAATTCTGCATAAATTGTGGGTTTCATGTTTGTATTTCTGTAGTTCACATTTTTCTATAGAACACTTAATTAAATAATATGTGATTGTGGAAAATGTGAAAGCAAGTCTTAATACGAACGCAGATAGTTGATATCTGCTGATACATAATCAAAGAAAACAACTATGAATTACTTTGCGGCTATATATATATATATATATATATATATATATATATATATATATATATATATATATATAGAGAGAGAGAGAGAGAGAGAGAGCTATGATATTATACCTAGGCAGATAATACTTTCAGTCTGGAAAAATATTAGAAAATATTAAAAACATCCATGTTATACATCTTACTAAAAACAAAAAGTTCATATAAAGTACACAAATGTGAACAACTCTTTAAAACGTGAATATGTAAAACATGTCTACAATGAACAGTCTACTAATAACTGATGCTGGATATTTCTGACTAATTACATATAACACCTAATGATTTTCATTGAAATGATGAACCGATCAAGGTTAGACAACCATTGAAAATCTGGAAACACTGGACTCCCGTTTCATCCAATTATGAGACTCCATAATAATACGCACGCGGGCCTTGAACCCAGAATCTTCGGTCTCACAGGAACGCTTGGCCTTTAAACAACTCAGCCGGAATCCAGTGGTGTTGGTTGAAGTTAGACATTAAAACCGTTGGATTCCGACTCAGTGGTATAGGAGTTAAGCGTTCGCGAGAGACAGAAGGTCCTGTTTGCGGCTGACACCTAATGATTTATTTATTTATTATTCAATGAGAATAAATTAATGAAATTTATTTATCAACCATTAATTCATTTATGTATATGGTCTTAAGTCAAACTTTTGTCTAAGAAATAGCGATACCGTTAAGTAAAGATGGAGTGAGGTTTGAGACTGTGACCAAGTAATGAACCTTAATTGACTCTTAAAACAAACCGTGTTGATGAGTGTAACTCAATGGATTACGGTCCGCGTGATTATCGTAATGGTTATACCAATGTACAGATTAAGTAAATGATTTCGTCGAAAAGAAAATTTTCTTCACTGAATTCTCTTTTTCTTATAGGACTGGTTAAGAACTAAACGCAAAAGTTCAGGTGCATTTACAGTGTTCCCGTTATATTTCCAATTCTAAAATAATCTTATACGTTTTTGCTCCACAAATTCGTATTTTTGTCAAATTACATTGCCAATACCAACCATTATTGAGTTCATCTTAACCCCATCTGCCGTTTCAAAGCAATACCCCTATAAATGATACCCCATCAATAGAAATTAACACGGCTATCAGACAAATCAAGAATGGCAAAGAAGCATGACTAGACAGAACACTAGCTGAACCACCGACGTCATATATGGAGGCAACTGTAAAAATGACCCATTTTCTTTTTAAAAAGGTTTGGGAAGAAAAAATACAAAAAGAATGCAATGAGATACTTCACCAAGATATCAAAAAGATCTTATTAAATATGAGGACTGTAAAGGCATTACGTTGCTATTGGTACCATGCGAAGCTGTCAATAGTGTTAATCAACCAAACGAAAAATCCAGTAGACGTTCAACTTCGATATTAACAAGCTAGACTTCGTATCGACTAATCGTACACCGACCAAAATACGATGATGAGGATCATAAATGAGCAATCAACTGAATAGAATTGATCTCTAAACAACAAGTTACTTGATTACGAGAAGTCATTCGATAACGTAGATATGAGAACATTACGGAACACTCCTCAACACTAAATGGTACCTGAGGAGACCATAACCATCACAGGAAACCCCTATGTGAAAATGAATTGGGAAGTTGTATGTGGAGGGTGGCTCAAACGTGGATTCCAAGTGAAGACAGGGCTGTCTACTATTGTGTTTTCTTTTATCGCCAGCTATTGACTGGATCATGATGATTTCATATCACAGGAAAAGTACGGAATACAATGGATATCTTGCGCGCTTCTGGATGATTTGGACTTTTTAAACGACTTGACTCTCCTATCGCATATACAGCGACAAATACAATTAAAAACAGTTGGTACTACTAAATAATAGGTGATTAGGTCAACGCAAAAAATTAATCTGTCCTTTTTGATAGAAGAGAATTTGTTAATTTGCTTATGGAAGTTGGAAAAATCCGTAGTTTAAAAGAAAACATCTACTTAGAATGCTACCTGAATTGTTATCTTAGCGTAAAAATATGATCATATGACCATATTCATAACTTATCAGAAAACCTTTCTACACGAAAAACAAAATGGAATTGAGTGGATTAAAATACAATACTACTCAAGGTAATTTAAACTTACTTATAGGTGATTGGTTAAACTGATTGATAGGTCCTACCCGATTACACCAGGCAGAAAAACCACCAGGTGCACTGATAGTTTGTCCATCGATTACATTTCGATTTCCTAATGAATGCGGAAAACAATCTGATGTTAAATGTCCGGAGCTCAACCTATTACTTAAAGAAACACGAGATTTTGGTTCAAAACGAGAAATTTTTAATGAATTCGGTTCAGCAGACACTGAGGCTAAAGCACTAGTAGATGAATTGATGTAACTTTCTGCTGTCAACTTCTGCAAAGTTTCGTCGCCACCACCGTTAACACCACCGCCAACAACATCTATAAATTCATCATCTTCAATTCGTTTTTTTACTGCAAACGACACCAATGTGTCATCTGTGTCCATGGCTACAGTTTTAGATCCAATATCAGTATCTGATTTGTGGGTATTATAATCAGTTGAAAGGTTGTGGAACAATACAGCCTTGGATCCAGACTGAACTTCTGATTTAGAAGAATACAGACAACTAGTTGAAGATGAATCACGTTTCTGTGTTTGACGACGTAATCGACGAGATTCCACTTCACCTGGTAGTAGCTCACCTAAAGTGACCATAGTTATAGGTGCCCAAGCAAAATAGGATGTTGTGACACCAGATAAATTTGAACCTTCACGTTTTAATTTATCATTGATATAATCCACTAAATTTGGTTGCATTTCGAAAATATTTAAATTTCTTCTCATATCGGTGACAAGAAGACCACCACCGGTTTCTAGTGAACAACTCATTAATTCAGCAACATGAGAACCAGTCCAACGTTGAACTAAACGCAGTTCCTCATCGCAAAGACCAACCAACTAAATGAAAAGCATAAAAATTAAATTTATTCTTAAGAAGCATAACTGATAGTGAAAAGTAATTTATGAATAAGCAATCTAGATGATAGCTTGACAGGTTAATCGTTTGGATTACTATCAGGAAATGTCGAAAATACTGTGTTGAAATAAACAGCTAGTTGACCAACTATTATTTTAAATAATGTGCATTTTAAAACAATCAGATTGCATACTGTCCAAAGTTTTTTTTCTGAAAGATATTTACGAATTCAGAAAGCCTCCAATGAACTAATATGTGATTTTTGTTAGAATACTGACGACTTTAAGAAAAAACACAACACTAGGGGATTATAACTAATTAACGACCACTAAACCAATTAGATGTCAAGGGACCACCAAATGATCATTACGGAGTTAGATGTAGGTAACGGAAGTCATTATTCATTCGTGTACGTGAAAAATATGAACCAGTAATGACATGCTTCACGCAGTCATTTTATAAATATAGATAGGTAGGTAGATAGATAGATGTAGATAGATAAGTATTAAGACCATTAACAATAATTTTAATCAGATCATAGTGATAATATTAATCGGATTCAGAAAATAAGTTTAGGTTTATATAGTCAATTTAGTCATAAATTACTGAAACGGGTAGAGTGGGGTTTAAACCCGCAAGCAGATATTCGAAAATCGTGTATTTTAACAACTAATTCACCGTTCTGCTTGGTAGAAGTTAAGCTATCCACAACAACCAAGTTCCACTGACTGAATATCAAGTATATTATAAATATCTCTTTCTGTGAACTGATGATTATATTACTATCTATATACTAAAATTAGCTTAGCGGGCACCCAGATATTAATGGTTCTAATTTAAAATGTACAACATATCCATTCAGTTAAACCTGTATATAATTTAATGTAGATTTTTAGGTCCAGATTGAAGACTGTTAAAATGTAATAGGATGTGACTTTTTGAAATTTATTTCATAAATTATATGAAGCAAAACATTTAGATTGTGTTACCATTCAAATTAATTGTTTTAGCGGAATAGATAGTGACATAATTTATCTATCATACTAACATAGCTTATACCAAGTTTATACAGTAAAATTTCATATAGACGTTTTAGACTTACGCTGCTAATCCAATAGTGAATATTTTCGAACTCCTAGGCAAAGTCATGTTAAAATTCTGTACTTTAACACAGGCCTATAATAGGCATTTGGTTATCTTGACCAAACAAAATTCAGAATAATTATATTATCTGCTTTCAATCCTCCTAGATTTTTTAGTTTTTACAGAAATCACAAAATATCAGTCGTAAAGATCATTTCATTACTTAGATACTATGTTGAAATTCATTCAACCATTTTTCAAACTTCAGTTTATATCCGAGATACAGTGCGACTGTCCATCTTGATGGAAGTCAATAATGAGGACAGATTTACTTTCCTCCCGAAGCCTGATTTATTTACTTGATATTGTATGACTGACTGAATGGTATAGCGCTTACCGTGTGACTAAATTTAATATTATCAGAAGGGGTTTTATGGAGATTGTAGTAATTTCAATGGTTAAGATCATGAGTCAGTTGAAGCTAGACCACCGTCCAGTGCTTCCAGGTTTTCCATGGTGGTCTAGCTTCAACTGACTCATGATCTTAACCATTAAATTTAATATTGTATAACGTATGGATATGTACTGCTGAGTTTGAAAACCTGCTGATTCGTTTGTTGACATCTGTTTATGATTATAAAAAGACCACCTTTATTTATCATTCATCAGACCATGTTGAAAACTAAGTGAGATCGGATCATTCAAGAGATAATGTTATCTTTAATGTGATGTTCATGACTTGAAATCTATACACATAAACAATCAACAATATACCCATACATAGTAGATTTCAATTTTGTTTTTTTTAGTCAGTGTTTCAGTATACTGAATAACAATAATAATAATTCATAATATACCACACCTCGACTAACCTACCTACCTGACATAAAATGAAGGTGGGCATCAATTCTAAACGGTCACACAAAGAGAATTACGTACACTGTTGTCGAAAGTTTAAAATTTATGACACGAATACAATTTATTAAAAAGGACCAACAAATAAATTTGGTCTAGCATGTATATCTATTTATAGTAATTATCATAATCAGTTGTAGTTCACGTACACAGAAAATGTCTGTGTGGTTGTTCCGTAGAAGGGAATGGTGATATTAACACGGATGACCTTGGACTCAGTCTCGTTTAATGAGAAATTTAATTAATACAGGGTGTCGCTGAATATGTGGAATTCGTTTTCAAGAAATACAGTCGACTGTAATCATTATATTTAAAAATGTTTGAGTATTTGGAAAATAAAAGTAAGCCCTATGGTTAATTTTGTAGTGAATGGACATAAGCAGTTATTAACTGGATATTTCTGTGCTGCTATATCATAATATCATACTGTCTATTTGCATTTCATCAAATTTACTGAAAATAACAACATTGGAGTTTAAAACTAAAGGTTAAAATTAGCTAAACAGAAATTCGTTAAAAGACTAAACTTACTAAATTTCTACCAAATACAATAAAGTGAAAATAAAGGAGAGATTTTATTCGCAACATGATTAGCTAAATGATAACGTCTTAAACCATGAAGCAAGGCGATGAGCGTTCGAATCATATGGGTAGAATCGCCTCTCTCAAATATACCCCTACCTTAAACTAGTAAAAATAGAATAATGATCAATTTAAAAGTGGTTAAACTCATGATGTACAAAAAATGGGAAAGTATTTATACAAACATATATATGTTGTAGAAAAATAATTACTTTACACACTTTAACATTATTCATTTTGTAAAATCCAATAATGTTACTTAAGACCATCTACTCCTTTAGTCGTTTGACAATTGTACTATTTTTAACCGAATTTTCACTTACTCTAGTATACCTTTGCGCTACTATTATTAGAAAGTAAAATTCATAAGAATTACACAGAAAAGTAATAACCTGTAAAAATTGAACATAACCATATGGTGTAGTGATTTTTTTCAGTTGAGGATCTTCTACCAGTAGCATATGATGAATACGTGATGAATTTGTTGAATTAGTTGTTAGTTTATCCTTAGTATCATTCTGACCAACTGAATCATTCGAGTTGTTAGTTGCTAAAGAGTTGTTATTATTGACAGCGGCTAGAGCAGCTGCGACCATGGATGCATAAGTCGAAGGATTGGTTAATGCGGATAAAGCAGCCGATGAAGATCCCATACCAGTTTTAGCACTGTTTGCAGCTAATATGGAAGCCGCAGTTGCTGCAGCCGCCATTGCAATGGATTTTCTTGCATTTTCTAACTCCTTCACATTTGTTTCTTTATCCGTCTGTTGTTGCTGGTGGTGGTGATGTTGATGATGCCGTCGTCGTTTTTCCGACTGTTGAGATGACAAATTAGGCTGCTTATCTAAAGACGTAGGCCATGGAATATGATCGCCCGCCATTAATTGGGCTTGTGAATAGAAAACATAACGTGCTAAGCTTTGTAGTAAATGCGCTGGCCATGTTGGTGGATTTGTTTCACCTGCTTCACGTTTAACTCGAAATGTTAACTCGAAACCGAAACCACTTGGACCATCAGTTGAATGACAATGGCTACAATTCATATATATGTTGGAAAAATTAACAAATAAAAATCTTTTATCATGAAAAAGTAAAACGAAATCATTTTTACATTTTGATGCAGAAAACATCAACTAGGAAAATTATGATGGAAAGGAAAAATTAGGACAGTCAGTCGGTTGGATATAACTTAGAAACTGAAACGTGTAAACTCGTTATTGGACAGAATAGCAAGTTTGGTTGTTTATAAGTTGACGGGTTTTAGATTCCTAGGTAGGTTATGTAGTGTTTACGGAGAGCCAAAATGAAATAAACAAGGTGTGTGGTATGTCTTGCATATTATTACATGCTAAAATATAAGATTTCAATCGCTGAAAAATTCCCATTATATTAAAACACAATTGTATGAACAAAGAATATTCTTTTCAGTGAATTTCTCATCAAGTTCTACAATTATAAATCTAAATTAATAATCCATAGAATTGGCCAGATTTAAGGCAGAGTACATCATTTGGAAATTGTAATATGTAAATCAAGAATTGTTATTTGTCATATAAAATCAAATCAGATCGTTCATGTTGAAGCTGACTATAAAGTGTTAATTTGAATCAGTTTATAAGTGAAATGAAATTGTGCGATAAATAATCAGAATAAATATAGTTAACTTGGGGTGAGAGAAAAAAAAATTTGGGGATAAAAATCGGAAATTCCGTAATATGTAGAATAATATGAATTAGGTCAGATACAGTAGATTTAGAGGTGGATATTGAATAAATTCCTCAAAACGGTTATCAAATGTAATAATAATAATAATAATAATAATAATAATAATAACAATGATAATCACAGTCGTAAAGATAATTATAATAATAACAATAATAATAAGTTTGGGACATAAAATAAAGATTAATCAAATTATGTCACCATATTATAAAATATAAGATGCGGTTGTGACGAAAACACCTGAAAATGTAACATAAATTCTCAGATTATTTTTGCGAAATAGATGTTTAGAGTTTGATACAGACTTGTTTGACGACGACCAACCTAAATTTCTGACATTATTTCGAGTAATCAATTGTTCTGATATTTACATAAGCATAATAAAACCAATGGATTAGAAATACCATATATACGAGTAATCAAATTCCATATGACACTGGAACCATTTTAGTGTCTCAATGAGTTTCAAGAAGTAAATACACCTTATGGAAACTCTTTGCTTGAACATTACTGATCTAGTCTCTGTTCTGGTCATCTTACAAGCCCATTTCATTCAATCCCGTCATACATATAATTCTGGCAATCACACTTTTTTCATGTAACGTTTTAGAGACTGATCCGCTCGAAAATCTATTCATTGATTTGAATGAAGGCACCCACAAAATGCAGTCTTTTGAACGCCTTAAATAACAATGAAAAATAATTGGACATATGGCTCTGTCTAAATACAAATATTGCTTCAGCGTCAACGCCTAGGTTGATCAAAAGGGGCGAAATAATCGAACACATTAACTATTTTTATTTATTTTGGAGGTCTCACCAACCTTGGTTGATTGGTGTCTGACGAAATCTCGATACAGATTGGTACAGGAGAGTTGTCTGTTTAGCGAACAAAAGACAGGTATGTTGAGTAGCAGTCAGCAGTGTACCTGTTTGACTGTACAACATAGTATACGAAGGTAGAAAACATGGGTAAACCGCAAATTGTTAGTCATGAGGTGGAACAATCAAGTAAGCAATGCTGAGGACGGGTGTAGCGTATTATCTAATGATTATACAACGGTTGACGAAGTTATGAATCTTTTTTTACTGCAGTGGTTGAAACATGTTACCTAGGTTATCAGTATTTATTATATACACCTTCCTTTCACACAACATTCTCGATTTCAAATATTCCCCACTATACTCCATACTACTACCACTGCGATTCCTTTGGTAGTTATTTTTTATTAATTTTACCCCTCAATGATTCAATATAGTTATCTAAGCAAATGGAAATTTGTGCTAGGTACTATGTTGATTAGTACTGACGAATTGACTCATTAAGTTCAATGTTTGTCACAAAAAATGTGAGCTTCACATCTATTAAAAAGCGAATAGGTAGTGTACATTACTGGAAAGTTGAAAGGACTTTTATTTATTTATTTGAACACATAAATATTGGTACGAGGGGCACCAAATATATATGCGCCACACAAAACAATGAGGAATTTAAAGAGAAGGAAAGAAAAGAAACAAATAACGACCAGATTAGTGTAAGGTAGTGAAATAGTAGTAATAATGGAGGAAACGAAAAGGTACAATCACGAGAAATCTTTCAGTTAAGGAAGAAGCAACCACTCTACGAAGAAAGTAAAAGAAGGCTACAGCAGGGTTGCCACTGGCTTCTATTCTGAGCCATATATGATAACGTCTCTAGCCACTGTGTTGCACCATCTCTCGGACCCCAGCCGTTGAAAGGACTAGATCTTTAGAATGTTTCTGAATTTTTTGTGTTTATCCTACTACGATTGATTCGTGACGGAACACACTACCTGACAATTTATAACATTCATAGCTAATTAGAATTTATTGGAAAAAATGAATCAGTCATATGGAAAAATTCCTGGTATCAATAAACTTAGAGTTGATTCCTTGATATCTCCTGGTAATTAATGTATTGCTAAATGATGGAATTAAACTTGTTGCTGGAATATCATGAGATATACCCCAATGAACCACCAAAGGTCCATTTGTATTACGTACCTTTGCACAATTTTATTCTATCATTACTTGAAGCTAAGTTCCCCTATTAAAAGTCAATAAATGATGATATTAAGTAGTAGAGTATGTAAGTTGCAGCAATAATAGGTAGGTAAGTACAACAGTACTTTCGATATTGGTAAACTGTAATACTATTGTAAGGTTACTATTTCCATGAAAATCAAAGAGTCGGAGTCCCGGTTCTGTAACCTAGATACGCCGCCGCTGAAACAGAATAAACTTCAGTCAGAATCACCAGTACTATTATTATAAAGAACATGTTTCTTTGAAACCCGCAAAGAAATAAACGAAGCAAAAAAGTACTAATAAACTCACCCATGCAACCTTGAGTCACCATACAAATCTGATAAACCGTTAGTTACGTAATGCCAGTGGGGAGGGCTTTGCAGTTCAGCTGATCCTGGATTTGCATACATATTGATAAAATCCAAAGGATCTGGTCCACCCATCCAGAACTTTCGAACAGCTGTTACTTGCAGTGGAGTAGGTTGATCAGGATACAACAGTCGACAAGCTGCATAAATAGCTTTTAAGCCTAAGGCATGCTCTTCTTTATTAGATGGAACACTACCTAAATTAGGAGCAGTCCCTGAACTTAAAACTGGTCCAAAAGCACTATTCGACATTTTTGTTTGGTAATAATGAGTGTTAGTACATTTTTCTTCTAAAATAGAAATAAGAAACCGAACCTGAGTTATATATATTCAACTAACTACACATAAGCATATAACCCCCTAGTTATCAAAGGCATCCTCTTCGAAACAAACATATGTACATTGACACTTAACAAGACATAACCAAGTTTAGAGGGGGAAACCCTGAAAACATATCGTCAAGCAACATAGTCGTGAATCAATTACACTTTAAAAGCTATTTGTACTACACAGCAGCTCTATACAAAGTATATACAGAAAGATTCAAAATTATAAACTAACTCATGAGTGCTTAAACTATTCAGCAACAATTCAACCTTAAAGATATACCTATGTGCTGGAAACAAATCAATATTCAGGTTAAACTACGATTTTGTGATACATACATGACTTGCGTAAATATTTAAACTTACTAAAATCATTCAAGATCATGAGCAGTAACCCACTTCGTCGTAGTCGAGATAATGATATTATAAACAAAGGTGGAATTTTTAGTGTGAATAGGAACTGAAGGTAATCAAGAAAATTGATACGAACACCTTATACATAAGGATATCATGCAATGCAAAAATAAGCAAGAACTGGAGATTAAACTAAACAACAATATTCCGAAACAGAATTCTTTCAAAATAATCGAAACTGGGTCGAACCAATCGTTGGTCACCGGCTACCATGGGACTGCATCTCCTCACGATGCTCCACTGCCTTGTGGGTTAGACGTTCAGGTCGAAGGCTCGGGGTGTGGCCCCTAAGAAAACCAACTGCTTCGGTTTGGGCACCCGAGCAGTAACACAGCCCTCACACAAATCAATTGAGATTCGTGTGGCGCATATGTATTTGGTGCCTCCTTGTACATATACTTATGTGTTAAATAAATAAAAAAAATAGTCTGAAGGTCATAAAGGTTATTCACGGTCCTTAAAGCTGGATAAAGAAGAAGGGTTGGGTATGTGCCTACCAAACCTACCTCACTAAATACAACGTCGTTGAAAAAATGCTAACCAGACTCAACCAACTAACTCAAACTCTATACTAATAGTTGAAGGATCTTGATATACAAATGTTATGAAGCTTCAGGAAAAATCCCGAGATTCTTTGAAGGCCATTGGGACGGTGCTCCTTCTGACAACCAGAGTAACAATTAATATAGGGACACGGCGTGTCTGGACAATGTGCGAGGCTAAGAGGACCATTCAAATGGTGGCAAAAGTGAAAAGATTCAACCTGACCTTCATTGGTATAGGTGAATCTCAACGAACACAATCGGAGCAAAATAAACCAAATCCAAAAGAGATGTTATATTCTGGACATGAGGAAGAAAATACACACACATGAGCTTGCTCTGACGCTGTCCAAAGAAGCATGAGAAATGTTAACTGGATTGATTAGAGACTCACGGCTCTAGGATCACCAAAGCATCCGTCGAACCAAAGAGGGAAAGGATTATGACGAATGTCGTCAAGTGCTACGCACTAACTAATAACAGTTTGGTGGCCCGTTGAACGGATTTCCATTTGACAGAATGATGTTGTCAACGAAATATGCACGCCGTCTACTCTCGTTTATAGTAGTCCATTTAATTCGCGTTAGGAAATAACAGAATAAAATACGTCAAATATGAGGATGAATTTTGAAAACGTATATCTATCTCATACACTCGTTGACCGAAACAGACAATCAGAGGAATGAAGTGGAGAAACAGACCAGAGAAGGCGAACATACCAACTCACTTTGATAAGGTGAGACTCAATATGTATAGCCAAACAAAAATAACTACAGAAATGTGATGCATGGGTTAAGCGATACACACATACGCTCATAAAAAAAAACAGTTAATTTCATCAAGCGAATAATCGACAAGGTTAAAATTTGACTCTAGAAGAACGAATTAATTGGTTCATCCGAAAACCAGGATGACCTATGTGGGCTTGACGTAGTACTAAACAACTACAACAATAGCGGAGACGATAAAAATTAGTTTTATGGGAGGCTGCAATCTATTTCAGAGAAATCAGAGAAACATCTAACGATACTAATCGGTGATGCAAAAATACCCAAGTTGGGATGAGCAACACCGGGTATGAATTCACTATGAGGCGAGATGGACTGGGAGAATAGTGAGATTAGTAGGTCTATGTGCTCTCAACGATATGGTCATAGGCGGCAGCATTTGACCCACAAATAGACACATAGAGCTACATAGGTTCCACCTAAACACGCTACAGAAAACAAGATCGATCACATCTGCGTGAACAAAAAATTCGGAAGCTCATCCGAAGAAGTAGGGACAAAGAGAGAAGCCGATATAGCTTTATAGATAAGCTGGAACATACGCCAAAAATATATTGGACAAATGAACAAGCAACACCAAAAAATTTAATACAGCCTTCCTTGAAAACGCTAACAAACTCAGTCAGTCCAACATAGATCTCAGTAACAAATTCTAATTGTTACAAGATCTACTAGAAGAGAAAATCTCCACGGAGAGCAACTCAAAAAGGTTTAAACGAGCAATAACTTTGAAATTCCAGGGTGTTTTTGGGCTTCAATGGGCATGAGAATGAAGAACAAGTCACAGTAGATACTTTGGCCACGACTCAAGGAAGCAAAACAAGACAGAAGTCAGAATAAGCCGACGAAAAGCAGGCACAGGCTGAATACACAGAAGTAAACAAAAGAGTGAAGGAGATTGTTAGAGCTGACACGCGGGAATGGTTTTGATAATCGGAGGTCAAAATTAAGATCATGAATAACACTTGACAACAGCTGGGAATAAGAGTCTAGAATGGAGCTGGTTAGAGACTCCTGAATGGTGCTACGGCAATAGGGGTAACTGGGGTAATTATTTAGGTTAGGGTCGTACGAGCACTGAGAAAATATTGAAAACTAAAGCATAGTGACTCATAAAGAAAGTAGGTAATTCGGTAGATTCTTAAGTTATCAATAAACTACAACTGATCATACTTACACTAAGGCCAAATGTAACACGGTGATGCAATGGCTAGCACATTAGGCTTAAGTAAACATTGAATACTAAATAATTTAGTTTATATTAAGACTGCAAAAGAGTGAATGAAAAATGTTGAAATTTTTTATTCAAATCCTAAGGAATTAAAAAGCCCACAGTAGTTATTAGACGAGTAACCGGGACTGGCTGACATCATGATGCATTTGAGCACGGGCTTTATAAAACAATCGGGAAACCGAACTGCTTGATCTAAAAGTTCATCATACCGTTTCGATTACAGGTTGCAGAATTGCTTAGGTTACTGTTTTAATCAGGCAGATTAACGTAAGTTGAGGGATAATGTAAATTGCAATCGATACACGTGCAACTAAATTCTATTATACATTGTATTAATCTTGTGGCATCAGGTTAGTTGTAAGCGACTTCAGTATTATTACGCTAGGTCAACTTACAGTACTTCTATAGTTCTTATTGTCCTTTGTACCGTGAAAGCTTTAACACCTGATATCTATTTACCTTCGTTTATCAGTTATTTATTACAGTTTATCACAAATAAATTTACATTTATCTGGTGAAGTCTCAAAAGCTTTCAGGGTTATAACTACAATTCGAACCGTAACAGAGAGCCACAGCAGAGAATCTCAAACAAGTGTATCAGTCCAAGATATCCTTTTTGAACTAAGGCTGTCAAAAAGAAAACCTGTCAAATTAACAAGACAATCCGTGATATAAAAAAAAATACTACACAGCATGAGCAACCAAAACTGAAAAATTTAGAACAGAATCTGTACACAATTTAATTTATTTCAATATTAACAATTTTGTGCATTTTCAAGAAGGTTATAGCAGGAAAAAAAGGAAGAAACCGACAGTGAAATCATCCAATGAATAAATACTTGTTAGAAGATGCATGAGGAAAACAGATCCACAAAGCATAACTGCAAGACAAAATTATTGTCCAAAACGCTCAGAATCCAAATGTCGGTTACGTGGGTAGGTATTTGTAGTCCACCTATAAAGATGAGTATGTGCATATTACCAGCTCTAAATCGAAAGGCACTGTATAGTCGGTGGAGATATATGAGAAATTATTAATCCACATCTTCAAAACACATTTCTTCTGGTGAATTTACATCGGTACTCCCATTCAGAGCACAACGACCTAAGTCATCACTTGACACAGAATCTTCCATTTTGTCTCCATCATTAAACATTTGCATCATTCGTGAAAAAAAATTATTCATTTCATTTGCAGGAGGTTTAACACCAAAGTATAATTGGCCAATTTTATCCAAGTATTTCGAATAAGAAGAGTCTCTGTTCAGTTGAGGACTGTATTTTTCACATAGTACTGAAAATACAGCTAGACTGCACTTCTTTTCAATGGCTAACATCAAAAACCATAGGAAATTTAATAAAGGAAAATCCGCAAACGGTGGCCCAGGCTCTAATCGAGGATGACGTCGTGTATATGTGTAAAACGTCAATATGGCAACTGAGATTTGCTTCATACATAAAAACTGAAGGACAGCTTGTGCGATAAATAAGTCGATTTCTGATCGAAGCCCATATCGCTGATGCAAAGCAACAAGGAAGACACCAGCCGCATAGCCATTAGAAGATAACATGATACGCAACCTTGCTTCACTGAAAGATCCTTCTTGCCACAATACACGAGCGAGATATCCATTGAACACAGCCAGAAGTTCTTTTTGCTTTTGGAGAAGTTGAAGTGCTTTGTGGACAAAACGTGTCCTTTCTTCACCAGGACACATTCGTATCAAAAGTTCACAAATTTCATCTAGATGAGATTCAGTCAAAACTGTTTCGCTCTGGTTATACACTTCAAGTACAAGGCAAGCTAACTCAGTACCACTTTCCCATTGTTCGTTATCAAGTAAAAACTCAGAACCTAGTTTCAAATACTTTAATGCTTCCTGATAATGTTTCCGCATAATACAACGGAAATGTATGGTCTTGTACAGTTGATGAGCCTCATAGAAAC